CCTCAATATGTTTTCTATTTACTCCAAAAGTATTTTCCCAGCCCTGAAAGAAATGTGGACCCTATGGGCAAAAAAGTAAAAAATCCCATTTTTGGGATTTTCATTCCTATTTTTGGGAATTGCGGGATGCCCTTTGACCTTTTCAATTTTTTTTTTTGCATTTTCTTATTTGAAATGACAAATTTAACAAGCGTTGAAAATTTCATTGAGTTTTGTTCATAAATAAAGATTTTGTCATATATTACATATTTGTTTAATTTCTAAAACTATGATTTATATCAAAATTTTAATAGGATCGCAGATAGCTACAACAATTTAGTCCATATTTATCCCTTAATATAATTTTTTAGTTAGATATGGAAATTCTCGACCCTTTACAAAAAATTTCAAGCCAATATCTCAATTACATTCAAAAATATGTTCATTTAAACCTGTGTCCTTTAATTTCATCTTTTTCATATTTTAGTATTAAGTATGACAGCACATATTTAAATCTTATATTTACCTATTTTCTATTTGTTTGCTTATCCTTATAATTGAAAGGTCCTATTATGCTTAAATTTTCAAAAATTTATAACTATTTTTTACCAAAATTTTTTCGACATGATCATGTAGGTAAAAATATACAGGTAATGATAATTTCGATTCATTCACTAATAAGAAATATCAATGACTGAATTACAGGTTATAGTAATATAGTCCTAAATGTTAATAGGTAGACAATTCGTAATTTTTTACTTTGGAATACCTGTATCGGAAATGACAAGAATTGGTATATAAGTAAACTTCTCAGATTTTAAGTACCATATTTAATAAATCTACAATGAAGATTACATTAAAGTACGAAGAGTTGTGTTCCGTTTTATGGAGTGTATCTTCAAAAGGGCCAGAAAAAATTGAAGACATTTCAAATTATATAAAAACTACATATAGTAGAAAAGTAGACAAAACAGGCATATCAAAAATTTAAAACTTTTTGATGTAAAAAGTAAGTCCGTTGATGGAAATCAAAAGAAATTTCGATTAAAATTTTTTAGTTGGATGGAAACTACTACGGAAATCTCAACTTACAACACATAAACAGGAGCGCCTTGCAAGTCATACGAAGACTTATGTTCAAGGTCAAAAAACAAGAGGGTCACACAAAAAATTTTTTCAATCTCAAATGAGGAAATTGCTGATACATTTAACGAAATGCTGAAAAAGGAAAACCAACCTATGGATGCCGTACATATTGCAACTATTCTTCCTAATGCATCACCAAAACGACTTAAGCGAATTGTGGAAAGTATACCAACTCCAACATCATAATCAAATTTTACTGAAGAGGAAGCAATAGCGCTTATGTTGGAACTGGGTCTCAGTCGAAATAAGTACCAAATATTAAGGAAAGCTCTGCATGAAAAAGGACACAATATATTACCATCATACAAGGCGATCCAGGAAAAAAAAAAAAACAAACTATCCTACTAAATCAACAAAAAATAATGAAGAATTGAAAGAACTGAGAGCTGCGGAAAAAAGCAGAATCCAAGAAGAATTTAAAGTTCAGATGGGATTAAACATCGACAAACCACTTTCAAGTTGCGGTAGTACAAATGACGGTAATACGTCGAGAAGGTTTTTTCGTGATTTTGAAATTACTTCAAAAATAACTGGAATCGACAAGGAGTTGCTTCGAAGAGTTAAAACTATTTTAATGGTACTGAATAGTAAACATAAAATTAATGAAAATCGATTTGGGGAATACACATCTGAAATTTCTAAATTACTTGTATCTCTGTATCCATGGAGGGAACTAACACCAACAGTACACAAAGTATTGTGTCATGGTCAAATAATAATTGAATCGAATATTCTTCCACTTGGAGAGTTAACAGAAGAAGCCCAGGAAGCGAGGAATCGAGATTTTAAGCATGTTCAACTATTCAGCTCAAGAAAATGCTCCAGGCAATCACAGAATGAAGATATTTTTAATAGTTTACTTCTATCTTCTGATCCTGTTCTTTCAACTATGCGAAAAAGATGGATTTGTTATGAAACTCTATCATCTCAAAACAAGGAAGATTTAAAGGACTTATATTACCTTCTGGATATGTATACCGATATGACAGATTATTTTATAGAAAATAAGTAGTGTTAGGAATTAACTATATAAGTAGGTTGTAAGAATTAATTGTATTATGTTTAAGATAAACAGTTCAAATAAAAAAAGCTATTATACTAACTGATGATATTGTGTTTTATATTTCGGTGGGCGGGAAAGGTAATTTGTGTGGGGTGATTTAGGTGTTGTTGTGCGTGGCTCATAATAAAATTATAATTTTTTTTATTTTATATACAATATTATAATAAAATAATTAACTAAATAATTTTTAAAAATTGTCCAAATATTTTATTCAACACCAAATGTATGTTCTGTCATACTTAATACTAAAATATGAAAAAGATGAAATTAAAGGACACAGGTTTAAATGAACATATTTTTGAATGTAATTGAGATATTGGCTTGGAATTTTTTGTAAAGGGTCGAGAATTTCCATATCTAACTAAAAAATGATATTAAGGGATAAATATGGACTAAATTGTTGTAGCTATCTGCGATCCTATTAAAATTTTGATATAAATCATAGTTTTAGAAATTAAACAAATATGTAATATATGACAAAATCTTTATTTATGAACAAAACTCAATGAAATTTTCAACGCTTGTTAAATTTGTCATTTCAAATAAGAAAATGCAAAAAAAAAAATTGAAAAGGTCAAAGGGCATCCCGCAATTCCCAAAAATAGGAATGAAAATCCCAAAAATGGGATTTTTTACTTTTTTGCCCATAGGGTCCACATTTCTTTCAGGGCTGGGAAAATACTTTTGGAGTAAATAGAAAACATATTGAGGTTTCCAAAACTGCTTTCAGTTTTCTGATCCCAGCTTTGGGATTTTAGAACATGTCGCCCAAAGTTGAAGTTTTGATAAAAAATAGGTCATATTCGGAAGGACGTAGTGGCAACATTTTCAAAAAATAGGACAAGTTTTTTACGCCAAAGCGTTCTGCGTAAAGATACCTTTTAGAAAACTATAAAATTGTTATATGTTCTTAAAGAAAATTTTATTTTATTAATAAAAGATTTAAGACACATTTTTGGCAAAAAACGGCCAAAAATCTAAAATTTTTTGAATTTTTTAATTAAAAAACGTATATTTTTGGATCTGTAAATGATATTGATCTGAAATTTTTTGTATATTATTGGAAATTTTGTTGTCTAACTAACAAAATTGAGTCCATTTGGTCCAAAACTACGCCTGGTATTCAAAAAAAGGCGGACCAAGGTATGGTAAATTTTGTATCACTAAATTTTTAAATGCCTATAACTCGGATATTATAAGAGATAAGTAGTATGTCCAAGCATGTTTTTTCAAGATCTCGTCGAGCGCTTTCACAAAATATAAAAATCTTTGTATTTGGGTGAAAAACAAAAAAATGGCACGAGTTTAAAAATTTTACATGTCGTAGGTACCCTACTTTGAGCCGCCACAGCGCCGTCCCTGGGGCATCTGCAGGGTTCATCTTCAAAACTTAAACTCGAATACTCCTTGGCTACGCTCACTCCAAATTTTATCCCGATCGGATCAGCCGTTTAGAAATGCCAGATTTATTTCCAAAAAATTTCCATTCTGCCCCACTGTGCCTTGTAGCATCGGATTCACACGGCGATTTGCTCTAATGTTCCGCTTGACCAAGAATTTCTATCTGGGATCAGTGTTTCAAAGTTTCCGACATATTCTGTGTCTGGTACGCGATCGGGCGCGTCCGATGATTGTGTACAGCCAGAATTGACATAATTACACTTTTATTAAGACAATGTGGCATAGAAGGACTAAGGCCCCATTTCATGCCAATGGTTCTCCTATATAGCGCCCAGAACCGATGTGCCTTTTTGATCCTATCCTCTATGTCGTGTCTCCATTTTAATTTTTGATCAAGAATTACACCTAAGTACCTAACTTGTCTGTCGCCGGTATTTTCTTTCTCAGGAAACAGGATTCAGTATACTTACAAATTTTAATTTTTTTTTATTATCCGGCGAAGAGTAAATCAGTTTCTCAATTGAGCTCAGCTGAAGACCGTATTCAGAGCTTCTTCAACCCTTATATACAAGTAATTTGGATTCTTTCCCCATAGAAGTATTACGATATCGTCTGCATATCAGACAGGTGGTTACCCAAAGTAAAGAGGAAAAAATGCCACCTTGTGGTGTACCGCCAAATACCCTTTTCGTACATCTCTCATCTTATCAATCTATTCCTTACGGAGCATGCTACTTATATTTGAGGTCTTTGACTGGTATACCGCTTTTAACCATACTATCTTCTATCCGTTCTGTTTGGCTAGTTACTCTTTCCAGCTCACGCAATGGTTGATGCTTTACGGCAAGCGGAGTTACTTGCGAAAAGTTTAGCTTAAAGGTTAGCTCTATCAAACGGGTCAGAGAATATTTGATCATCTCTGAAAAGAATAGGAATTGTAGAACTAGCATTATCCTCTGCTATTGGACCAATAACCTAGAGTATACTAGAATGTACTATAGCAACTTTCTGTTCCTTAATATAATTGCCACAGTGACATATATCAATATTAACTCCTTGGCTTTCCAGTCTCTACTTTCTCTATATTATTTTTTTGCAATCTATTGTAAACTATTAAACTCCACTCAAACCGTTTTGCTAATCCAAGCCACTTGACCCAATTTGGAAACCATATTCAGAGTAAGTCTCCGAAGTCTATAGTCGTAAACTGGTTGTACCAGATAAGTAAACCTATTTCGTTAAAAATTTTTGTGACACCTAACCGCAGTGGTCTTCTTTCGATAAGTATACTGTATTATCATTGGTTAATAGATACAAAAGAATATCTAATAACGCTAGTTAAAGGCATAAAAGTTTGCAATTTGTTCCTAAAAAACTATATTGGTTCTACAATAGCTCAATTAAAAAAACGTTTTCCAATTATTATTTATAATAGATTATTTTATTATGTTCCTCTATAGGTAGTATAGCCAAATGGAGACAACAATAAAGGTATATGATAATGTTGACCAGCCACACATTTAACGACAATCTCAATAAATGGATAGAAACATGCGACGCCTAAATTATCGTAGTATTTCTGCACATTAAATTGTAGTTTATAAATTCCACTCTTAAAATCATTTGTCTCCAGCAGTTGACTTGCACGACCATCTTTATCAGTTGCGGCCTGTTTTAATTCCTGCCACTGTTGATTTTCCAAGAGACGATAAACCGATAAGGGAACATCTACTGCTGCCTTACCTAGCGATGTATCCAGAACATGAGTGGACAAAGTGCGAGTATCTTTAGGCATTTCAGGCTCTAAACTCTGAAAGAAAAACCAAACATTAATTAAAATATTTATTTCTACAAAATACAATGCCCGTATTACCTCTCCTGTCTCTACACGTAAGCGTATACGTTCCCAACCAGAACTCATTTTGAACTGTTTATATAAGACATTAAAGACATTTCAATGATGAAAGATTCATCATAGTTTGTCTTATTTCTAGTTTATCTCTATTATTTAGAGATAAAAGAGACTCTATATACAGATTGTACAAATACACACATTTCTATATCATAATCTTTCTTTTATCTCGTATCTGTATGAATGTCAACGCATATGTACATGTGCTGATTTTGATACATGTATACAGGTGTTTGTATCTCTTATCGTTAGTGAGTGAGTAGTTAAATTGTAATATTATTTATCTCGAGATCACTGTGAAAAGATTGTTTGTAATAATTTATGGCTCTTGCATATATTACACTGAAAAAATTTCGATACTAATTCTCAATAATAAAAAATAAATCAAAAGAAATAAGTTCTACTATAGCTAGTAATTATGCACTTCCTTAATATTGAAAATGGCTTTCTTTCTACGCGGAATCAGTTGCCAGAATTAACTTCATCTTGTTCTCGTTTACCATTAGACCCATTTTCGATGAATCAGTCTAAATTTTTGCTTCAGTCACTTGTGGCATATGACTCTCTCAGGTCACTCTACCATACTCAATTGCCTCGGATAAATCCCCAAACCATCTTTTGAAAAAGGTTTTTCGGTGTGTATTCAACACGACCCAAATGTGATGGAATTAATCCTCCGTACTGGGTCGTTTAAGATCTATACTGATGGCTCCAAATTAAAAGACGTACCTAGTGGGAGATGGCTTTTACGTAGCACATACCGGAAGAGTAATTTTCTTATGAATGATAAATGATTGACACAATGTTGATATTCGAATATACACCGATAGCTAGGCCACCCGAAAGGTCATAAGTGTTGGCTCCCCACTAGCAAGAGAGCATACCGACAACCTCGATTCGTGATAAACTTCCACAAATTTTGAAATGTTATTAAAGAAATTGTACTATTAGTTTCCCTGTCTGAGAAATCTAGTAGTTTTTAATATGTCGGAGAGGCTGTTAACGGGCAGCCTTGAAATCGATGAAATGGTGGTATGTATCGATTGGTTTTTTGTTGGCCTTTTCAGGATTTGTCACATGATGAGGATTTGGTTTATTGTTGAATTATTTTGTGTGAAGTCACACTGATACGATTGAAACAGATTGCGAGTATTGGCTTTAATCTTTCACACAATTACCTTGACAATACATTATACGCCATGCACAGGAGACTTATCCTTCGGTAGTTGGCGTAAATTGTCTTGTCTCCCTTTTTGTAGAAAAATCTTACTTCCACACTCACCAGAATTCATCTTCACACATATTTATAACTGTTGTCGCATCATTTGTCTGGAATTTCAGGCGTTGATATAATTATCAAGTATCATTTCCATTAACACATGTAAGTATATGTAGCCATATTTCCTAACATTCTCGCCTTTCCAAATATTCTCTTATTCTAGCAGAATAAGTTATGTTTCTCCCTCATCTGAGTCCGATATTGCCCAACAAAGCTCGCATCGTGAGTAAAAAAATAGTCTAGTCTATAGTCTAGTCTATAGTCTAGTCTATAGTCTAGTCTATAGTCTAGTCTATAGTCTAGTCTATAGTCTAGTCTATAGTCTAGTCTATAGTCTAGTCTATAGTCTAGTCTATAGTCTAGTCTATAGTCTAGTCTATAGTCTAGTCTATAGTCTAGTCTATAGTCTAGTCTATAGTCTAGTCTATAGTCTAGTCTATAGTCTAGTCTATAGTCTAGTCTATAGTCTAGTCTATAGTCTAGTCTATAGTCTAGTCTATAGTCTAGTCTATAGTCTAGTCTATAGTCTAGTCTATAGTCTAGTCTATAGTCTAGTCTATAGTCTAGTCTATAGTCTAGTCTATAGTCTAGTCTATAGTCTAGTCTATAGTCTAGTCTATAGTCTAGTCTATAGTCTAGTCTATAGTCTAGTCTATAGTCGAGTCTATAGTCTAGTCTATAGTCTAGTCTATAGTCTAGTCTATAGTCTAGTGTAGTCTATTGTACCCCAATTATAATACGTCGCCCTCTCTTTTAATTTGGTTTGTCGACAGCGGTTCCAACTGTAAACAATTTGTAAACCATGCAAAGATTGTGTATTTTACATTTTGGTCATTTACAAAAACCGATTAAAATGTTAATAACATATTCTTTCTATGCTAATGAAAGCATGCTCCAATGAAGTTTGTTAACATCTATTAGTACCTTTGTACTAATAGATAGCATTATTAAAATTTACGATATAATATGAACGTATGTATGTACCCAATACGATCCCCAATAACATATGAAAAATGTGTGCAGCGACATCTATTTATATACTGGAGAAGCATTGTAAAGTATTGTTATCCATAGATGGCGCTATTACACTATACATATATAATAATCAACGATACATTCACCGGATACAGTTTTCCCCTTTACATTATTAATATGATTTATCTGTTAATTTAACAGAATTATCTAAATAATTCTACGTCCATCAGCAAATTCTTAATGTAAATATTAAAATAAGAACAAGTTATGTACGTATTTAGTAATCAGATTTGGGAAACTGTTCATCCATGGTATCCCTGGATGCTTCGCTACCTAAATACATACATATGTATATCGAATTAAAACCTAATCCAAAATTTATATTACATAAGTATAACATACTTTCACAAATTTATTAAAATTAAGTACATTTTCGTCATTATTAAAACGGTTAAAACTCTCTATGCTTCTGTTTTTGCGTACCAAAAAAGTACCAAACTGATAGCTCATGAACTTTGGCTCAATATTATATACTAAAAAACTTCCTGATCGTTACCAAATATGTTAAACTATTTGAAACTTCTGAAAAATACTACTCGTTTGTACAAAGGTACGTTTTAATAAAAGTACCAAATTATTCACCCGAATTGGGTCCTATGTAGGACTAAACCAATTCATTTCAAGGGCCATTAGTGTCAAGGTCGTTTTCTATGAAAGACAGAGTTGGATCGATTTTTATACTCTATCGTCCGTTCGTTAATAATGTTCATTTTCCAGGGGATTATGTACAAGTTTGGATATTCGTTTGCAACAATCCATATTGCTTTCATGCCCTAGTACTAGACAATCTGAATTAGAACAGGGCGTGAATGCAGTTAAGAATACATTTAGATCTAATTACGTTGAAGTTGAGAACCATAATATGTGCCATACTGTCAACGAATACAATAAGTACAGGTATAATTTGCTGACAAAGCTGCTGATATCCTTTTGTAGAAGGGAGACATAACCAATACGTGAGACTCTCTGAGTCTGAGAATCGAATTAGCAGAAGGCACCTTATACAGATGTCTGGTACTGGCATATCAAACATAGTCTGCAGACAGACCTGGGGTGTAATGTTCACAGAGCTAGAAATAATAGAACAAGTCCGCCAGACGAGTAAAACATAGGTCAGAACAGGTCTTATGACCTCTGTATACATCTGAACATGCACCTACCGAAAATTTTATTTACAACAAGTTTTCATGAGAAGGGAGATATGGTTGCTCCTCCTAATCACAACTTTCCCTGTCCCTTATATTCTTTGCTATAAATGACAAATCTACATTATTATTATTAATAATTCGTATTATTTTTTATAAAAAATACTTTTTGTTTATTTATTTTATAACATAAGTGTAATTCCACTCCCTTCACCTCGTGCCAGAGGAAAGTTTATTAAAATTCGATAAAAAAAATAACAGTTAAAAGTAAATACGAATAAACTTTATTGCTAACTATCATCGTGTGTAGACGATCGTCAAATGTTGTGTATATTTTGGCATTATGTTTGTTAAAATACTACATAAAAAAGATAATTTCAGCATCACCTAAAAATAATTGTGATAAGAAATATTTATATTTAGTAACCAGACACTAGTATTTTAAAAATAGTGCTAAGACACTCGACAAGAACAAATCTTTCGGGTATAAATAGTTAAATATTCGAGCATTTAGAAAAAAATACTCATTCGCTTTCTTCGGACAATGAAATAAACAAATAGTAGTTGTAATATAACAACATTTTCACAGTTTCCTTAACGGGTGTAGAGTTTAAATATTTTCATTATATTACAATAGTAAATATTTATAAATAAAAATGGTTATACAATCTGAACCAATTACTATTTCCCCAATTGAGGAAACTATGGAAAAGAAACCCAAAGTACCAGAACCATTAAGAATTGCCACCATCGATGAAGCTCTGGAAAAGACACGTAAATACATATCTTCAATAAAACATCAAGTTTAAAAGTTAATATTATTATTTTCTTTCACAGGTTATGGAAAATATAATACACAACTTATTATATTTTCGGGTTTGGTATTGAATAATGTGATTTTGGAATCGGTTGGCATTAGTTTTGCTTTGCCTGTTATAGCCTGTGATTTAGATTTGTCTTACCAAGAGCAAGGCATCTTAGGAGCTGTTTGCTTTTTGGGCATCATTTTTAGTTCCCATTTATGGGGATTTTTGGCAGATACCAAGGGCCGCAAGGAGACAATGAGACCAGCTCTACTGTTGGCTTTTTTGGTCACATTGATATCTAGTTTTTCCTACAATTTCCTAATGATGGCAGTGTTGAGATTTATAAATGGAATATTGTAAGTATAGAACAGTTATTTGACAGTAACATTTTATAATAATAATGTGTTGTTTCTTTTCAATTTTAGAATATCGGCTGGTTCCGCTACTATTTTTGCCTATTTGGGCGAATTCCATTCACAAAAGAATCGTAACAAAGCTATCATGTGTGCAGCATTCATAAGTGCCTTCAGTGCTGTATTTCTTCCAATTCTTGCATGGCTTTTTATTAATCAAGATTGGGAATTGGATATACCATTTCTACAGATTGTCTTTAAACCCTGGCGGTTATATCTAAATGTATGTGGTCTTTCCGGACTTGTTTGCTGTGTTATTTTAAGTTATTTACCAGAAAGTCCTAAATATTTATTGGGCTTAAGTAAATCAGATGAAGTTTTGGATATTTTAAAGAATATGCATCGCAAAAATATTAAAGGAAATAAAAATTTTCATAATGAACAATATACGGTAAGTTAGAGG